CCCCAAAACCCCAAAACCCCATGATAAATATTTTGCATAAAAAAAGAGTATTTAGAAATTAAATTATTTTGTTTTAATGGTATTATTTCAAATCACTAGCGAATACTTCAATATCACATTTCCTTGTTAATACAAATATTTATAAATTTACTGAGCGTTTCAACTATCTTCATTCATCCAAAAACTCTTCGTAATTTCTTTTTGTCTGTTTACTCTTCCCTGGACCAAAGGTCACACGATTTGTTATATGAATATCTTTTCCTTGCATACTCTAATCCTGCTCAGTTTGGCATGCAATGACCGAGAAAACAATATCAGAGGTGTCATCACTATAAAGTTAAGATTAAATATTGATTAATGATTATTTTATGCTTACTTCTAGTTCTTGTAAGGACTGCTATCATTAGAATTATAGCTCTAGTCTAAATTTTCAGAGGTGTTGAGAGCACCAGCAAATATGCTCTGAAGATAGTTGAGCGTTGCATTTGTTTAAGGATGCCTATTATTCTGAGCAGATTAAATTTTCTATTAGGCAATTTTTTTCTGGTAGTAATGTTTATCTTTGCTTTTTGATTTCAAATAGTAACTCTTGTAAACACAGCTAAAGTAAATGTCAAGAGCAAGGCTATAAGTGAGAATAGAACTATAAACACAAATTGCAGGGAAGCTAATGAATGAGGTTGCCCCCTAACTCTTGTACATAAAAATGCCATTTACTAGTAAATTAGTACCCACAAGAATTATTTGAGAAACGGCGGTTATGATTCTGATTCTATAGCAAGTCTTTCTTCTCTCGAATTAATCATAGAAAAATCTCATTAATATGAATCCTACAACTCGGCAAGTATGGAATACACTCTGTAAGATTCCTGAGAATATTATCAAACTTAATGCTATTTCAGCCAATTTTTCAGCTTCCTCAAGGCTAATGATGTTCTTATTACCTGACTAGATTTATATTTGCATCTCTTAATTGATCTGGCTTCTTATAAAAGCAGTGTCAATCTTAATCATAATGACTACCAAGAAGTTTGCGAGGTAGAAAAAGAGTGCAGAAATATCAATGGCAAATATGATCTGAATCCCAGTTTTTAGTCGGAATTTTCGGCAACAAGTTTAAACCATGAACGTATTTAATAAGATCGAAATTATTATCAATAAAGAGATTTAACTTATTAATTAGTAATTTAAACCTCCTTTTGTTAATTTTCTTTATTTGTGATAATCTCTCTCAATGGGGTTTTGGGGTTTTGGGGTTTTGGGG